GGACCGAGGACCGAGCCCTGCAGAACCCCACTGCCCACTTCCCTCCAGGTCAAAAATGACCCGTCCGCTACCACTTCCTGGGTGCGGCCCTCCAGCCAGTTGGCAACCCATTTGACTGTGTGGGTGTCGACACCACAGTCCCCCAGTTTCTTAATGAGAACGGGGTGAGAGATGGTGTTGAAGGCCTTCTGAAAGTCCAGGAAGACTATGTTCACTGCTACCTCTGCATCTAGTGATTTAATGTAATTCAGTACTTGAGTTTGTTGTAGATACTAGATCATCCATTATGTCTATGCCTTTTAGCTTTGAGAGAGCACTGTTATGACTTTAATGTCTACAAAGACAATAGGTGTTGGCTCAGCTTCTTGGATTGGTTTTTAAGTACAAATTCTAATCTGTGAAGGCCTATGGGGAAGTTGGCAGCACGATCTAGTGGTTGTGGTGGGCTAGGAATTAAAAATGGAACAAAACTGGATTCTAACTGGTTTGACTCTTAGACCCATTCTTTAATCTTTGCCTTGGCTTCTTCCCATTTGTAACACAGGAACAGTGATACTTGCTGTTTGTATTTATTCTTAACATAACATCTTCATCAATGTTATGCTGAAAGACTAATATTTCAAAGTTACCGATGGTTAATATTACACTTGAGATTTAATTCTTTGCTTTCCTTAAAGAATCGTTTGAATACATGCTGCATACTACATGATGGTGGGCTTCATAGGGATTTTGAAATACTTAGAGCAGTCAGCGTATTCAAGTTCTGGTTAAGATGGGGTTGATTTTTTATTTTTTTTTTTTTTGATTTATGGTTGCTTTCTTGATGGTTATGATAGTAACAGTAGAAGTTATTTATTATTTTGTTCTTTAACTTTCAGTGCTGCAAATCAATAGAGAGGGTGTTGCTGGTTTAGAAATGTAAAGCTTTATGCTTTTGGTAATATGGAATATGTTAGCTGTAGCATCTTCCAGCCACATACCTGTTTCAATAGCAGATGAAAGTTACAATCCAATTAAGCAACCATCCTGTTTCATTACAGGATGGACATAAATGATTAATTTTAGGAATTCCCTGAATTCTGGTAGTTAAATCTTTCAGTGTTCTGATTGCTCCCTTTATTCTTACAAACAATATAGATTACCACCGCTGTTAGTTACGTTTTTATGTACGACTTTATTTGAAGCAGTCATACAAGACTTGAAACATTGATGCAGTCCAAAGCATAAAATGGGAAGAATCAAAGCTATCGTGTATTAACTAGACTATTTTAGATGGTATGGTAAACCTCTGCTGTGAACCGGCTGTATCAACCTTTATGCTAACTGTAACAAACAGGCAAAATATAATGTGGGAAACTAGCTGAAGTGGAAAAATCCTGTGTCCTATAGATGTGAAAGCTCTGTGGTCAGATGCTTTAAGCCATGTGAGTACAGGATATGCGATTTAAAGTCTGTATAAGTGAACAAGAGAGCTGAATCAAGTCTGTATGGATAGGAAGTGCCAAAATTATTGCTACTTCTGTGTTCTTGTCTTCATATAATTATACCTATAGGACTCCCTCTTAACTTAGTACCTAGGGCATGGTTCAGAGCACAGAAGTTTCAGTAGGAGACCTTTATGGCAGTACTGGATGCTTCAGTATTGCTAATGACTTACAGAGCTTTTCACCAGTTTGAATTAAGCAAGCTTAGTGGGGATTAAAAATGTTCCAGTCTAATGGGCTTTGGCCAGTACATGAAACGAGTCTGCGTTTCGGCTTCTTCATCACTTTTCACCCTGATAATTGGCACTCAAAGACCAAGAGCTGTGTGCACCATGGAAATTGTGCTACTTCTGCTGCCCCATTTTTCTCAGGCACTTTCTGCATACAGGGTTTTACAGCTAGATTCCAAGTTCAAATTAGATTCTGTTTGCAGCCTCTTTCTATAATGGGACTATTAAGCATCTAAACCTAGTTTTACGATGCTTTAAATATTGATATTGAAGCAAATTTCACCAGAAATGGCTGTGCAACTTGATACAACAAAACACTTGCATTTTGAACAATATTTTCTGTGTCCTGGAGCTGTTAGTGGATGTGTCTGCACAAGACACTTTGAGCACGGTAGACTAATTCTACTGTGAAGCAGCCCAACAAGCAAAACACATGTGAATGCGCAGTAGAACTAGTTTACTGTGCAGTAGCGTCACCTAAAATGTGTGTGCTGGCGCAGTAGTGCCCGTTACTGTGCATTTCGTACCTGTTATTATAGGTACTAAACTAAATGCGCAGTAACACTGCTCATTAATGCACATGCACACGTGCCCAGTTATACCTTTCTGGCAACAAATATTATTGTGTACTTAAGTTTGTTATGCTTATGGAAATGTCTGCTGTATTTTGGCATTAGGTTGTCATCACATTTCAATGTGCATTTTCTATCTTGAGCAAAGTACCATAGTGCATAAAGTTAATGGGGGAAAAAAAAACCCTCAAGCAGCTTCATATCTGGCAAGACGCTTGAAAAATTGTTTCTGCGTACTGTTTTGGCTTGGAAGGTACAACTTTTTTTAAAGGGGAAAAAAAGTAGCAACCTGACTGATCCCTTTAGTCAAAATGTAATTGCTGTTAAACGGTTACCTCTGCATATTGCAAGAAACTGAGAGATGGATACAAATTCATAAACTAGACCACTTTTGCCTCCTTCTCTCACTTACGCCCTTCCTGTTCCCCCAGTCAGCATGTCCTGCGTGGATGGCCTGCCAACAACACAGAACGACTTGTGAGATTGGAGACAAATTCTTTACATTATATCCCTAAGAAAGAGTATAGTTTCTGCTGCTTCTTTGTGATATACTGGTGGTGGCAACCTTGTTGATTTGATTGTCTTGGATCCCAGTGGCTGCATTAATTGACAGAACTCCTTAAGGTGCCTTGTTTCCTAGACTCTCAAGTTACTGTATTCTGTAAGGTATCTTCCTGTTGAAAATATTTGTAGCTTTTCAAGTCATAGACATAAAAACTTAATATTCAAGTCTTCTGTAATTCAGGGTGGTTATGCATTGCAAGTGGATACTTTTTTTTTCTTCTTATTTTTGTCAAACAGTGCTTTCTGTTATATAATTTACTGAGCCAAAGCAAACATGCTAATCTGATAAAATCCAAGCAGTATGAAATTTGCTAAGAGTTCCCAGGAATAGATAGTTTTAGGAAGTGAGGCATTTTTCTTTTTGGAAAAAATATGCTATAACTGCAGAACTCTAATAGTCTTTATTGTTGATGCCAGAAACTCCAGATGAAAATGGCAAATCCCAGCAATCTGAGACACTCTTTATGAAGAAGATGAAGAAGAAAAAGAAAAAGAAACACCGGGAAGATATGCGAGGGAAACGTCTGAAAATGTACAACAAAGAAGTGCAAACCGTTTGTGCTGGACTCACTCGCATAGACAAAGACATCCTGAGTCAAGGACAGTGCGACAGCTTAGAAGTAAACAAGGAATCCTTCAGGTATTTGAAGGATGAGCAGCTCTGTCGATTGAATCTGGGTATGCAGGAATATCGGGTACCGCAGGGAGTACAGATGCCATTTATGACTCATCAGGAACACTCTGTTCGCAGCAGCTTCCTGAAAACTGGCACTAAATTTAGTAACTTCATTCATGAAGAACATCAGTCTAATGGTGGCGCTTTGGTTCTACATGCCTATATGGATGAACTCTCATTTTTGTCTCCAGTGGAGATGGAGAGATTTGCAGAAGAATTCCTTGCTTTGTCATTCAGTGAAAATGATAAAAATGCAGCTTACTATGCGTTAGCCATAGTACATGGAGCAGCTGCTTATTTGCCGGATTTCCTGGATTACTTTGCTTTTAACTTTCCTAACACTCCAGTGAAAATGGAAATTCTGGGTAAGAAGGACATTGAAACAACAACCATTTCAAATTTTCACTCTCAGGTAAGGCAAATATATTTATAATGCGTGGAGATTCAGCAAGTAAGCTCTAGATTTGTACTGATAAACAGTAGAAAAATGGGAGGGGTGTGCTGTGGTGTGACCAGATGCAAGGGTGCTTTTTAGGTCTGAAGCCCCCTTCCTCTTCCCTCTCCCCTCCCTCCAGGTAACTGGGAGATAACGTTGCTGGTACTCCTCCAAGACTGCTGACATTTGGCCTGTCGAAGGGTGGGGGGGGAGGGAAGACTCTTCTCCCAGTCTTTTGTTCACTGGGCTTTATTCCGATGAATAGATCCAGTACCTACCTCTTCTGTTGCTCTCTTTTACAAGCAGGAAAATAAAAATAACACTTTGGAGCCCTTCTGTGGACATTTGAATAGAATCAGTATAACCCAAGTCTTGTCAGCTCTAAGTGACTGTTTATGAAACTTAAAACGGTAACAGGGATATACACAGCTGGACCGGCAACATGCTAACTTAGCTGCTCCAGAAATGGCTAATTAGCCCTTACTTGCTAGCCAAAGCTTCTTATTGGTATGAGGATATTATCAAGCTCTGATTAAATTCCCCATTATGAAGTAGCTTGCTAATTGTCCAGAGGTATCTGTGTTTTGAAGTGCTAGATTTAAGTTAGTGGTAAAAAAAAAAAAAACAAAAACAAAAAAAACCTGTCATGCCAACTTACCACCTCAACAACAATATGCTGGCCTCTCATTTCATAATCTTAATAAATGTCAGTATCTTGTGATAAGCAGGTGTGGCTTACAGTATTGCAACAGATGCCTGCAAGCCTACTAAGGCATGTGCAAGGTATTCTAGAGTTAGGTTGTAGAAGAACAAGGGGAGGGAAACCAGCCCCAATATTTAAATTTGAGATTACTTACAATTCACATCTCAGTTAACTGGCCCTACTAGACTTCACTGAGCTGCTTCTGCAAAATCTTTTTGAGTAGAAAGGCCAAGCTTTGACATTACATAACACGTGTGTGTGTGTGTGTGTGTGTGTGTGTGTGTGTGTGTGTGTGTGTGTGTGTGTGTGTGTGTGTGTGTGTGTGCGTGCGTGCGTGCGCGTGCACGTGGCTTTATTACTTTGTAAGCTGATTGAAATTCTATCTTTCTAGTAGGCATTTTGTCTCCAAAGATGCATGTAATCATTTGGTGGGCCCAACTCTATAACCACAAGTCTCAGTTCTTAGGCCGAAGCTTTTGAATAGCATTCGTAGGGGATATAGGATTTATTTTGGATTAGCTTTAACTGAGGGGTGTTTGTTTGTTTGTTTGTTTGTTTGTTTTTTGGGAAGAATGCAATCAAATGCAGCCTTTGGAAATGCTTCTCTAAGTGAGGGCACCTACTTAAGTCTTGCTCCAGTTGGTAAGGCATAGAAACCCTTTGGTTTTAAGTTGAAGCTTAGTTCGTTATCAAACATGAAATCAAGTTTTTTCCCATGAAGTTTTCACCTCCATCTCTTACATGGGTAAATTTGTGAAGATTAAGCATTGAATTTTCTTCAGTTCTTTTTCAGTGGAGTTCCTTGCTTCCTGGAGGATGCTAGATCACGTACAACTTCTAACCAAACCTGTTCTTCTAGATTGAGAGTTGTTGACTGAAGGCCGTATTATTCTTGTTCTTAAACTAGACTGTACCGTGACATGGCTGTCTCTACAATGCATCTCTGTGTGCTGCTTTAACATGGGCTTCCCTGCTTCTTCCATCCCACTTCCAGTGAGAAAAGTGTCCAAGTTAGACATGTACATTTCAGACTATTTCTAATTAAAGTTCTCTCTGCAGTAGAGAGAGAGCAGGCGAGGCCGATATGGAGAGGTCGCAAGATGGCGCGACCCACGGAGCAGAACACGCAAAACAAAACATCCCTCGTCTTGGATTTTGGCATTGTTACCACAATAAGGTACCAAAGTGCTGACTTTCATAGTAGTTTTTGATTCCTTGAAGATTTTTACCCTTGGAAGGTTGACCAGGGTTTTCCCAGGGGCAAGAACTCAACTGCAAACAAGCTTATGAAATAGACTTGGTTTTCCAAAGTACATTGCTAAGCAAACACACTTTTCTCTATTGTAACAAAGGACTTTTAAATATTGCAGCCAAATGTCAACATAAAAATTGAGATGTTAGCCCACTGCTTTTGGGATAGGGAAGAGGCATTTGCGATAGTAGTGTAAGAATGCTAACAAATCTCTGGAAGTATTAAAGTCTACCTTAGAGTTGCCATTTAAAACTAAGTAAATCTGACCACGTGAACAAATGAAGTATTAAAGGGAAATAACTGTTCTATGTCAGTGCAGCACACTAACTTACTACTTTATCTAGTACCTCTTTTGACTGGTGCTAATAAAACTCTGTTGATATTTTCATATCTGTATTCCTGGTGACTATAAAGTGCTTTCTCTAAAAATATTAGAATAACTTTGAGCCTTTGGAAACTTTATATGAATATGGTTCCCTCAGCCAGTGGAAATATGTAGGAAGGCTTTTGCATTACAAATTCCTGTCATGCTTTTAGGTTTTTGCTTGTGCTTTTGAAGTAATATTAAAAAGTCTTCGGGAACATAATTTCCAGTTACAGTACAACATGCGTGCTTATGTGCACTTTTGTGCATGCATCCCCACTCCTCCTCCTCTGCCTAACTGGCCACTACAGCTGTCATTCTTTTAAACCTAAATGTGGACTGTAATGGCTAGAACAACTTAAATGTGTAGGTCTAGTGTGTTTCTTATAGGAAAAAAAACCCTTGGTTTGTATTCTTTACCTGTATCTAACTGAACACTTAATTTTTGTGATTCATCCCAACTTGTGTAAATTTTATAAATGAGCTTTTTGTACTCTAGTTTAGTTGCTGGATAGGTTAATTTATAATGGACAAGATAAGCATCTACAACTAGACGATGAGGATCCTTTTTTTTGGAAAGAAGCAATTCAAGGTTTGGCAATAATTTGAATCAAATCTAATGACAAATTTAAAATACCCTTTTTCGAGGACTGAAGTTTAGGTAAAAGCAAGAAGGATCAAGAAGTCAATTGAGGAATCATGGCTTGTTTAGTTCCCTAAACTGGATATTTTTTTCACGGAGTAATCTTTTTGAACAAGTTTTGGTAATGCTAAAAAGTGCATACTAGCCCATGCAGTTTAAATTCTAACTAATCTTGAGCTGGAAGAACACACATGTTTTCTCAGCTGCAAGAAGCTGAGTCTATCCAACATCTAACTTTACTGTTTTCTTGCAAGAAAAATCATGTAACCTATAGTAACCTTACATATCTGATTACTAAAAAATACATGTATTCATTCTTTTTTCCTGTTTTTCTCCTCTGACTATCTTGGTTGCTTAATAATTTGGTTTGAGTACCTTTTAATAGCTTCTGATAATGACTGAAACTGCCAGCTAAACAGATGTATGTAATGTTAGGTTATACATAAAAAGGTGTGGGGGGGGAGGCACTAACGCGCAGTTGGCTTAACAATTAGGTCCTACGAAAATAAATGGTCTAGGAGACATCTTGTATGGAATGTACGGTGGCACCTAACCCAGTGCAGCATTGTTTGCTCTTGGATTGTAATTAACTTAATTGTTCTGAGAGAAGCAGCTCTCTTAGTCTGAAGTCAGGCAAAAGGCAGGGTAGAGTTGTACCATTTATAGACTAAATGAATGAGAGATGGGTAAGTTCATGAGCAACAGCTCACATCAGATATTATCTTATTAAATTAGCTTCTGTTCATGAAAGCTTATGCATTTCTAATTCAGTAACCTATACGGTACAACTCTGTCCTCCCTTTTATGTCAGTTGTTCCAAGTATTGTATAAACTTGTCTGTCCAGGCTTGATCTCCTTTTGAATTAGAACTTCTTTGTGAGGCATGTTTGGGTTAGCCAGAAAACTGAATAGGTGCATAAGTAGCTAATAGTTAGAAATCTTGTGGTTGTAAGAAGAGAGTATGAAGCAAAACATATGCATTCATCTTTGCCTAAATCCTGAAGACCAGCTTCATCTAAGTGCAGTTGTAGATGTTTGCCTTCTGCTACTAGCGATTCTTGAAAGGTGCTAGCGTGAGGGCTGAAGTCCTCACAAAAGAGAGATCATGGGCACCAAAAGCTTTGCCTTTCTGATGTTTCCTTGACAGGGAAGGTCTTCCTGTAGGCTTGATGTCTTCAGTGAGAAGAGCCATTTCTTAATCATCTGCAACAGATTGTCCAACTTAATGTAATGTGAACATTGCTCTGGGAGGACTAGACTGTTCAGAAATGCGCTTTGGTTACTGAATATTCTTTGCAAGTGTATGATTACAGAGTTTAAACATATATTCAGACTGATGCAAAATCAAGTTGACAGTAGTCTTTGAGGGCCGTGCATATCAACTGTAAAAAAAATTAAGATTTATGTTGAATGCTTTATACAGGCTTGCGCTTTTTTCTTGAAACATGGAATCCTGGGCCATACCTTAATGAAACATTGGTTAGGGGGATAAAGTATGCTGGCTTAGCACTGTATCTCAGCTCACTTAAAGAACAAGTGCTGCATAATGAGTCCCTGATAGGGGAGCAAGCAAGGCATTTTTAAGGTAGACTAAATTGTGTTAGTTTGTCTTTTTTACATGATGATAGAATTTTTAATTACAACTTTGAAGTCAGATACTGGCTGTAGTCCAGTGCCAGTTTTGAGACCATCTAGAAATCTGCATCTTGCTCACTAAGCATGTTAGGCTTGCTGTGTGTATATACATTAATCGTCTGTATCTATATAGATAGATATAGATGATTAATTTATACTGTGTATTTTGTCCTATACTGCATCTGTTTTGAAATACACCCTGAACAAAATAGTTTGTATGAACATATACATTTCCTGTTGTCTTTTTGCTTGCATATACCCACATATCTGCCTAAGGGGACTGCAGTCCTAGTGCCACAGCAGTAACTAAAATACTGAACACTGAGTAACTTCAGTGTTAGTGTCACTAATTAGCAGTGCTGGACCCTTAAGGAGATTTGTTTTTAGAATCAATTGGACATAATATCTATGGGTCTTGCTATGTACCCACCCTTACAATACACTGATAACTGTAGCATCATCTTAACTGCTTGTTTTTCAATCAGTGCATCAGGTGCTGAAAAAGCTAGCATGGCCATAAGCTAACTACTGACATTTCCTGCATGTTCTCTGTGTTTCTGTGGGACAATTTATAACGTTTTGCAGAAAGTATCAAAATACAGATTGCAAACAAAGTATGTTGTGGTGTTCTGCACAACAGACTATTATTAGGTTGTTTAAAAGCTAGCTAACTTAAGCTCTAAACTGCTTCTTTCATTCTGTCTGCCACGCTATTTGACTGAATCAAAACGGACGATACTATAATTTAACCATATTTCTCTTGTTTTTGTTTCCACCTTTTCCTCTTTGAATGGTAAGCTTGCTGTGTATTGCTTTCGGTTTCCTAGCAAAATACTTGAGTGAGCAGGTTTTCAGAATGTCGAATCAGCTGTAATACTCTGTATCCTAAACAAGCTTTTCTACTGAAGTCTCACATGTGGACTGTGCTTATTAGTCACCTGCTACTTGGTAGCATACATACACTTGTAGCTATTTGGATGTTGGAATTCATACACTAGAAGGAAGTGGGCTGGTTATTCCCTTCTGTATGTTGAGAGATGTCTAAACTTGTATTCTAATGCAAACCTCCCCAGGCTCTGTGTGTGTGTGTGTGTGTGTGTGTGTGTGTGTGTGT